CCCCCCCCTTCACTACAACCCATGTCTAAGCAAAAGCTTGTCGAGGAGCGAGGGGAAGTATGGTATCTGGAACCCGACCGGCTGGCGGCGGACAAAAAAACCATGTTCGCGTGCCCGGATTCGCACCCGGGTCTTTGCATTTCATGGATGACATCCTGCCGCTGACGCCACTGTAAAAAGGGCGTTTGGTTGACACAAGATAAGGTGCCCCAAGCCTTATATACTGACATGTGGTGCCCACATTTGGTGATATATATACTTCACGAAAGGTAGACGACCGTCCTTCACACCGATGAAAGAGAGGGAGTGCTCAAGGAGCGGCTCCCACAGCAAGGAGGGTCTCCGTGAATCATCGCGGTGCCCCCTACCAAACGGCAATCTTACCAATCTGCGTGATACCAAATCATACAGCACGTGTATCCAATACAGCAGTAGTGCTGCACGGCTGAAAAAAAAAAAGTGTGAGAAAAAAAGCTTCCAACGGGAAAGCAGCCCCCTGTGGAAACCCCTCTGATGAGGCGGCTCGCGGCGCAACAGACCTCCACATCCAGCACGGGCTCTAGAGGGCGAACAAGAGGCTAAACTGCCCAGAAAACAAGAGAGGTATGTTAACACCACGCAAGAGCACAGCAGGGTATGTTTCATACGCCCAGAAACACATGGTACGGTGAGAAATTTGGGCTTTAGCACGAGCGTACCATACTGCAGCAGCTCCAAAATCAGCGAGGAAGCTTCACACGCGAACCGACCTCTGGGCAAGGTTGGCGTCTTGCAGCCTATTTATACTGCTGACATGTACCTAGGTCTCACTGCCACCCAATGCCAAAGGTTTAAGGCGATTTGGTGCGGCAGGAGATAGGCATGGTGTGTTCAAAATTCAAATTTCAGGAGAGCCCACGCTGGAGGTTCGAACGCACGCTCGTGCATGTTGCGCATGTACATCCACTGGAAACACGACCCCCATCCAAAAATACCATGGAAACGCCTGATAAAAGCACGCTAGCTCAGGTCAGGCTATCATAACAAGTTATAGAAAATCTGGGCTTCGATTGGGCAAGTACGTCTGTCTTGAAGATAAATTTACACTCGGTGCTTTTCCATGGTACGAGTCAAACATGACCCGGGGCGCTCAGCTACGTACACTCCAGACCGTGCATTGTCTGTAGATTGAAACGCCGCAGAAATATCGAGTCGGGCATATATACTACGNTCGAGTCAAACATGACCCGGGGCGCTCAGCTACGTACACTCCAGACCGTGCATGTAGATTGAAACGCCGCAGAAATATCGAGTCGGGCATATATACTACGTAGATCGACAGGTTCCAGTCCGTCACGCTCTCAGGAACGTAAGCATGCCCATACAGAGGATCATATATTATCCATGGCTGTCAAGAGACAACGAAGCGCCCACAGACATAGCATAGGTGCACGCCTGCATAGGTGTACGCCTGGGTAGGCTGTACGTGTCACGTGACATTTTGTAGTTTTTGTCGTGTACCATGGCCAGGTATTTCATGCATGGAATAACGGCCGGCACCGGTCGAGCTGCTGACAGATGACCCGTCGGAGAGGTAGGCGGGGCAACCGGACTGGTTGCGGAATGCGGGTAGGAGACTTTCTGCCCCAGCGGTGCTATCTGTACGCTAACCAACAAGCAAGAAGCGAAGAAAAGCGTGCGAGCGCAAGGAATGCGGATGGGTTACAGACAACCCTGGCACCGAGTGTAGCAAATGCCCCGGGAGTGTAGTGCACTCGGACGGCGATAAGCTATGTTCGGCGTGCCACAGGTCTCCGAATGACGACGGTTTCACGCACCTCCGCCCGGACCGGTTAGGGCGAGCAGTAGACTTCCTGGCCGCGTGGACACAAGGAGATAAAACCCTCCCTCCAGCTCTCGTGCGAGACTTTAGGCCCAGCAATGACTGCCTCTGCCAACGCCCAGACTGCTTCCTAGCTTTTTCCGCCGGGGAAGAAAGGAAGGCAGAATCTCGCGTTTGCGGTTCTTGATGGTACCGGAAATTTGGTAAGAGCAGCGTAAGGTGGTACCCCATGGATGCTGCAGAGGACGACGTCGCGGAGGGGAACACAGCGGTGAGCGATGGCCTTTGGTGGTGCGGCCGTTGCTATCAGAAGCGGTTGGACGGCATAAAGAGAGACGACAAACAGCCAGAGCACCCAGCGAACAATGCATACCGCATGGATCGGGGGGTGAGGCGCCGGCGCCGGCAGATCCGTTGGACACGGTGCGCACTATGGTGGAAGAAGTCCTCCGTCGAGGTGAGATCCTGTACTGGCAGGACGTCGCCGAGTGGGTAACAGCGGAACGCGCGAAGGTTGACATGGAGGAGTTACAAGGGAGATACCCAAGAAAAATCGTCCGGGCCTTGTTTTCAAGCATCGAGGAGTCCGGGACTTCACGCTTGGTCAGTCAAGAGCCAGCACAAGGAGACGCACGCGAGCGGGAACTCTTCCTCTTCCCAAAAACCCTTGGGGACGAGCATCTCGTTGACTTAATGCTGCGTGCTCGCCGTAATGCACCCGTACAGCCACCACCCAGCCAGCTAGCGGAAAAGGGCGGGTCTCTCAAGTCGATCCTGGAGCAAGTCGACAAGGACAAGGAGGACGCAGACGCAAGGATGTCCGTCGTGCGGGCAGCTGGTAGAATTGTTCGAGCCGACGTGGCGAGTGAGCCTGCCCTGAAGAACACCCCCGGGACACGCGAGAAGCATCGCTACGCCGATGAGTTGGACATGAAAGTAAAGCAACCCAGAGAGACTCTGCTATCTGCGTTTCCTCCGGCCTTGGTTGGGTTATACCAAAGCATGACGGACATGGCACTGTATCGCGAGATCATCGCATCGGAGACCGAACATCCTCGAAAGCCCTGGGTATGGGAGACCGCAGGGCGAGACGGACGGCACCCTACCACCTCGGGCGACTCGGAGGGCGAGGACGGTGATGGAGAAAAGAAGAACGACGTCAGTCAAGGAGAAGTGACAGTGTCGTTAGGGCCACGAACCGAGGAACAGGCCAGGCATATCGACAGCCTTAACCGCGGTAGGCGATCTACGCATCGTAGGCTTCTATTGATGTGTACGGTGGTGGTGAAGGCAATTTTGTGTGGTCGGCACATGGGTTCGCACAACATCAAAGGGGCTCAGTGGGCAAAGTCTAGGGGTACGTGTCGCGATGTGATCAACTTTGTAGCGGAGCACGGTTTGTGGGCGACGACGTCGCATATTCAGCGCCGAGAAGATTTCCACGCGAGCTTCGTAGAGGACAAGGACCTTCTGAGCAAGGAAGCCGAATGCGCCCCCATTCCCCTCGGCAACTGTGATTGTGATTTTGACCCGAGGGTCGGAGTTGGCCAGGGGGAGGGGCCTCATCTTCCTTTTATCGCTGCGACGGCCTTGACGGTAGGGCCCGACGTAGGTCGAATGGACGACTGGTGGTTGGTAAGGAGCCGGGGATCTCTTACGGTGGAGGACGTCATTCTGGGGCCGGAGCGGGACCGGGAGGACGGAGCACGGCGGTATAACGAGTTTCCGGCGGAACTCTACCGCGGCGTATTCACTGAGGCGCGGAACAACTCCGACAGGTCTGCGGCAGACACATGCGTCGAGTCTGAACTCCGCAAGGTAAGAGGCATTTTTCTTACTTCCCTTACTTTCCGATTTTTTCACGACCTAGCCCACCCGACTGGACGTATGTTACCCAATAATATATGGCGTTCGTCGATTCTGAGACACGCCCTCCGCACTGCTACTCGAACGCGTAGGCTATCACCCCCGAGGGAAAATCGCCGCAGCAACTGCGATACGCGTTCATCCAGAAGGGTTCCACCAAGCGCTTCAGCGATATGAAGGCAGCCACCCAGCGCATTCAAGGTATCTGGCGTGGGACCCCCGCCGGCAAGGCAGGTGCACCATTCATACTCGATGGGGACGAGGAGACATTCAAGCACATGTACCACGTCATGGCACAGGAGCCGCGCGAGTACCGGCAAGTCCATCGTTACCCCGGCGATTGGCATTTGCTGTTGCATATGGCCAAGGCGATGCTTAGGCGGTACTGGGGTGCTGGAGTGGAGTTCGTGGCGAAAGAGTTGGGCACAGATGGGTCGAAGTCGGGGGAGGGGAGTAACTATCGTCGGGCGCACCACCACATAACGGCGTTTGGGCGGCGTTTATGGCTCTGTGTCGAGAGGAATACTTGAAGGGTCTCCCGACGCCAGGTGACAGACCGGTGGAAGATGACAAGGTGACCGACGGGGTGGTTCGGTGGATAGTGGCACGGGTTGAGGCTCACAAGATTTTCGCTGTGTGGAAGTAGTTCCTCCTCCACGACTACCCTGCGTACATCGCCTTCCGAACTGCCCTGCGTACGGGGAACTTCAGGCTGAGGCTTGAAGGCCTTCGCCGTATCGCCCCCATTTTTTTCATCACCGGTAAAGACAAGTACCAGTTCCTCGTGGTAGATCATCTGATGGAGGTGTCGCGTTATTCGCGCAATGATATGAGGGTCGTACCCCAGCTATTCTCAGTCTCACTCGGCCCTGGGAAGCCGAGCGGCAGGAGGTGTCCGATCGTCTCTACAATACGTTGACGAAAAGGATCCTTTCGAGCATGATAGAAAAGCTGGCACCGATTGCCCAGCTACGTGAAGTCGCCGTCTTCGACTTCGAATCTCATTTAATCGAGAAACCACGCACGGAAAGGGACCGTTGCAGAGAGTTGGCTGTGAAGCGTGCGCCAGCAGTCAGGGCGGCGATGGACTGCTTGAGAGAGAGCCCGGCATTTAAAGGCGACGATGGCAAAGACAAGGTTGTGGCGTTGGACGGGAGAGTGTTTCCGCCGGTCAAGTGGCAAGAGATTCTCGACGCGGCCGCCAAGGCTCGTGCGAAAATGCGCGAGTGTGTCCTGTACTACGTCTTCAAGAAGAAAAACTAAAGGGCGCGACCAAGAAGAAAGNTGTCGCGTTATTCGCGCAATGATATGAGGGTCGTACCCCAGCTATTCTCAGTCTCACTCGGCCCTGGGAAGCCGAGCGGCAGGAGGTGTCCGATCGTCTCTACAATACGTTGACGAAAAGGATCCTTTCGAGCATGATAGAAAAGCTGGCACCGATTGCCCAGCTACGTGAAGTCGCCGTCTTCGACTTCGAATCTCATTTAATCGAGAAACCACGCACGGAAAGGGACCGTTGCAGAGAGTTGGCTGTGAAGCGTGCGCCAGCAGTCAGGGCGGCGATGGACTGCTTGAGAGAGAGCCCGGCATTTAAAGGCGACGATGGCAAAGACAAGGTTGTGGCGTTGGACGGGAGAGTGTTTCCGCCGGTCAAGTGGCAAGAGATTCTCGACGCGGCCGCCAAGGCTCGTGCGAAAATGCGCGAGTGTGTCCTGTACTACGTCTTCAAGAAGAAAAACTAAAGGGCGCGACCAAGAAGAAAGTTTTCTCCATCCCGGCTAGGAACAGCACCAACAAGGCCACGAAGAGTCAAGGGAGGTCGTCTGCTATGAAGGATTCCGTCGGCAATGCCTACGCTGGGAGCCAAGAGTGGAAGGCCCTCACGCTGAACATGACAGATGCGGCCAGAAGGTGGGGGTGTGGTGACACAAGACCAGAGGCTGGAAATGGTGGCGTCCACTACCCCCTTCTTCCCCTCGCTCCTCGACAAGCTTTTGCTTAGACATGGGTTGTAGC